GAGAAGGCCGAGAGAGAGAAAGAAAGCCTTCCCCTGGATCTGACACCCTGAATTTGGACTTTTAGCCTACTTTACTGTAAGGAAATAAATTTCTCTTTGTTAAAACCATCCACTTGTGGTATTTCTGTTATAGCAGCACTAGACAAGTAAGACAGGGGCTTAAGTTTCCTGGATATTACTACAAATTGTGGTGTAGTACAGTCAACGATTACATAAACGGTACACAGTACGTCTTGGGTATTAATTTTAATGGGTAATTTGGGAAATAAGAAAGGGTCAAAACAGCTACTTTGGGACAATAAAGAATGTAAAAGGACAACCGGGGCCAGATACCAAACACCAGGCAAACCACTGAACCCCAGGGGCCCGAGTTAGAGTTCTCGGCGTTTCTGCACGGAAGCACTCTCCTACGCACGGTTGGTCCCTGAGACAGGAAGCGGAAGTGAGCTTCCTCGGTCGGCAGCCCGGGTGCTGTCTCTCTTGCTACGGTGTGAGGTCGGTGTGTTCCTGTCGTCGTTCGGCCCGCTTCAGTAGCCGGTGACCCGCAGCTCCTGTCCCGGGTCTGAGGGCGCTGCGCCCGCTCCCCGCGCACTCCTGGTCTCCCAGAGCCTCGGGACTTCCTGTAGCCGGGGAGCCGCCGCCGCTTGGCCGCTTCCTGCTGACTCCTCTGGGCTCTCTCGGTGCGTTCACAGGTGAGGTCGTGGGAACCCTCGCCGCGCACACTCGTGCTTCTCGGGGCAGCGGCGTCAGCGGCACAGGGAGCGCGTGAGAAATGCAGGGTCCCGGGCCTCACGGGCGCCGGGGTCGCTCGCCTGCGTCTCCGTGCCCTGCCCCCGCCTCCCGTCCGCCGCCCCCGCGCCCCTTTGTTCTCATCTGCCACCGCGCCCTAGCGCGCACACACACACACACACACACACACACACACACACACACAGTACAGTCACGTTTAGCTGCTCATCAGGCCTCGGTCAGCCGCGGTCTGTGTTCGTATTTATCTTTTATTGAGGTATTTCAGAAGGGCTGGGCAGTGTGCCAAGTACTTTGTATACTGCATCTCCTTTTATTCGCAAAACGACACCGTGAGGAGGGAGTGTTTGCGGCATTTCACAGAAGGAGTAGTGTTGGAGAAATTAAATAGCTTGCCGGTGGACAAATACCTAGTAAGTGACCGTGTCTGAACTCAAATTCAGGTCTGTTGTTATTTCTAGAGGCATAATCTTGATCACAGTCTCCTTGCCTAAAATGGCTCCTCTTTGTTTTCTGTGCTTCATCAGGCAGGACCTTTGTTAAGTGTTGCTGGTCATACAGAAATGAAGATTGTGGTGAGGAGTATATCCATCTCTTTTAAAGGTTATATGTGTTTAAGACCAATGAACAATCAAGGAACATGAGTTGGAACTAGTATGTACATTTAGGACCATGTTTATCCCAATTTCTGGAGGAAAGCGTTTAGTAAGAGGCCCATTTCAAGGAAGTTCTTTGGCTTAAGACAGACATTTTCATCATGATTGTGTGAGAAACAATACAGCCAGTCCTAGTTGGACTGATATAAAATGTGATGTTGCTCAGCCAGCTGAATGCAGGTGATGAAGGATTTACAGAGCTCATACACCCAGTGTGTGTGATCTGTGCTGCATTGGATACTGGGGATTGAACCACAATTTTTACTACAAAAGAGCCAGCCACACTTCTTAAAAGGTTGAAAGCTTTTTAGAGCACAAACCGTGCATATTCCCAGTGTCAGAACAGCAAATATTAAGAAAGAGGGGAAGATGGAAGGCTTGTGTAATGAAAGTATTCAGAATACTTCAGAAGATACTAGAGGGTCAGAGACAGTACAGTTTTCCAAAAGTACTTCATCTTTGGCAATAATTATTTTACAGAGTAAAAGAGTCAAGTAGGGAGTCCGTGGGTGGTGGGAAAGGTTCAGATTATTAGTTGAAAGTTTGGTGGTTTGAACTGACCCAGATGTGCCTTGGAAGACAGGACTGACGATCTGCTTCTGAAAGATCACAGCATTGAAAACCCTATGAAGCAAATTTAAAGTGTCTACATTTAAGTGTCCTGTTGGAGAAATCTTTGGGAATGCCAGTGCTTAATATTTTCTTTAAATGCTACTAATTATAGTTCATGTTGTATATATATAGGTTATGGAAGCAGTCTTGTCTTTTTTTGTTATTTTTTTTTTCATATGAATAACAAGGTGATCCAAATCTAATTACCTTAAAAAACCAATTCTTTACTCACTGCAGTTCCTCAAATGTGATTTTATTTCTCTAGGTCAGTACAGCCTAAGGTTGGCAAGAAATCTTATAAATACCTACTTTCCTCTCTATATCCTCATAGTATCTAAATTTCCCTCCTTTCACTTACACTCAGACCAAGAATCTAAGTCTTTTTTTAGTAGTGACATTTCATGCCATCTTTGCGTGTGTGTGGTAAAATACATATAACAAAACGATTTCCTATTTCAACCATTTTTACATACACAATTAGGCAACATTAATTACTTTCACGATGTTGTGCAAGCATCATCACTGTCAGTTTCCAAGATTTTCCATCACGCTTAGGCGAAACTCGGTGTCTCTTAAGCATTAACTCCCCTCCTCCCTTGCATCTTCCCCTAGTCACAATTTGGTCTCTATATATCTGCGTATTCTAGATGGTTAAATGGGATTGTACAATATTTGTAGTTTTGTGTCTGACTTATTTATCTTAGCATAGTGTTTTCAGGGTTCATCCATATCTTAGTAGTTATGAGAATTTCGTTTCTTTTTATGACTGACTGATACTTCATTTTCTTTATCCATGCATCTGTTGATGGGCATTTGGTTTTTTTACACTTTTTTGCTATTATGAATAGTACTGCTTGAACATTGGTGTAAAAATACCTGTTTACGTCCTTGCTTTCAAGCCTTTTCGGTATATACATGTTGTGTTAGGTATCGTTTATGCAATTTTAGACTCATAGCGACCCCATTTGACAGAGTAGAACTGTGCCATAGGGTTTTCTTGACTGTTATTTTAATGGAAGCACATCACAGGGTCTTTCTTGCAGAGGTGCCAGGTGGGTTTAAACTGCCAACCTTTTTTTATTTCTTTTAATTACATAGTTTTATTTTGTTGTTGTTGAGTATATACACAGCAAAACATACACCAGTTCAACAGTTTCTACATGTACCATTTAGTGATGTCGATTACGTTCTTCGAGTTGTGCAACCATTTTCACTTAACTTTTCTGAGTTGTTCCTCCATTAACATAAATTCCTTGCTCACTAACATTTCTATCATATGTTTTGTGTTGTTGTTGTCAATTTGATTCCACATAGATATTTCTTAAAAGAGCAGAATGCTCAAGGCAGACCTTTTTACTAGTTAAGCTAAACTACTGCTCGGTTTCAAGAAGACTTTAGGCGGTATTTTTGGTTTAAGGTTTAAAGATTATCTCAGGCCTATAGCTTCAGGGTTTCATCCAACCTTCGTGGCTTCAGGAAGCCTGGAGTCCAAGAGAATTTGAAATTCTGTTCTGCATTTTCCCCCTTTGGATCAGGATTCTTCTATGGAATTTTTGATGAAAATATTCATTAATGGTAGGCAGACAGTATCCAGTTCTTCTGTTCTCATGTGCCTTGGATGGCAGCTTGCAAGCTTTTAAGACCCCAGACACTACAGAATAAACTAAGAGGTAGAACAAAAGCAGTAAACACGTTATTAGGTCGGTTAACTGGGATGTCCCAGGAAAGCATAACCCTAAACCTCCAAACCAAGGAACCAACTCCCATGAGGTGTTTGGTTGTACATAAGCAGCCTCTGCATCTACTGTTTTTGTTGTTATTTGAACCGCCAGTCTTTTGGTTAGCAACAGAGTACTTAACCATTTGCACTATCAACGCTCCTAAAAATGGAAATTTCTGGGTCATAGAGTATTTGTATGTTTAATGTTTTGAAGAACAGCCATGCTTTTCCACAGAGGCTGAACTATTTTACAACCCACCAGCAATTTTTTCACATTCTCCCCAACTCTTACTGTTTTCCTATAGTAGCCATTCTCGTAGGAATGAGATGGTATGTCGTGTGATTTTGATTTGCATTTCCCTAATGACAAGGGCATGGAGCAGCTTTTTATGTGTTTATTGACTGCTTATCATCTTTCGTAAAATGTCCGTTCAAGTTTTTTGCCCATTTTTAAAATGGTTTGCTTATATGTTGCTGAGAGATAGACGTTCTTTCTATATCCTGGATACTAAACTCTTATGACATATATGACTCCCAAATGCAGTGAAACCTACGAAAGCCGGAACTTAAGGCAGGAACCTATCAGGGTAGGAGAACTCAAATATTTTCCAGTAAACAAGTGACCAAAAAGTAGTAAGGCTGCGCCAAACGCAGAAAAATTGCAAGACCCGGAAAAACAAGGCAGTTCTGTTGAATTCCAGCTGTTACAAGTTTCACTGTATTTTCTCCCATTCTGTAGGTTGTCAGGTTGTTGACAGAGTCCTTCGATGCAGAAGACTTTTAATTTATCTGTTTTGTCTTTTATTGATATCATATCTAAGAATCCATTGTTGAAAACTAGTGTGTACAGAAAATAAATGTGCCTCTTTTTCAAAATTGTAAACGTATTTTATGAGTCAGAAACTTCCAGAATGCGTAGAATAAAACTGATGATTAAACACCACTTGTAATTTCTACATAGGTAGAAAAATATGCTGCCTTGTATCTTTTTTTTCTCTAGAGATAGATATTCCAGAAGTTCTCCTGTTTTGCAGAGTTTCCCCTTGGAGACATGACTCATAATTAGTCACTTCATGTCAAATTCAAGCCTTCATTCAAAACTTCTGAATTTTCCTAGGTCAGAATCTCAGACTTGTTCCTCAGATCCCACCACGATATCTTTTTTTTTAGAAAAGAAAGCTTTCCAAAATTTTATTTTGATTCTGTTTGTCTCTCTCTCTCTCACCACACACACATACACACACACACACACACACACACACGCACACACACACACGCACCCCACACAGGATAGTCATTTAATTTCTTGTTCAGTAAAACTGGTTAAACCAGATGGACAGGTTAAACCATATTGGACTTTTTCTGAACTACCAAAAATGCAATTTCAGATGCTTCAACCAAATACACCTGAGTGATTACAAAGATGTAAGCAAATAACTGTAACCTATGTGGAAGTGTATAAACAGCAGTGGCACACTTAAAATAAGGGACGCCTCCACACAGGATAAGAGTCTTAACAGAGTCCTGAAAGTCAAGCAGAAAAAAAGAAACCTATCGTCCAGAAATTCACTGTACTCAGCAGCATCTGGTCTACATGAAGATCACCCAATGCACTAGTAATCCGATGTCTACTGTCAGACTTTAGACCCTATGCCATGAACCATTAATTATTTGTGAAAAGTGTAGCCCATGCCAGCACTGTGCTCTTCCTTTCCTTAGCTTGAAGCTTCAAAAGTGGGAATGCAGCCTGTTTCAGAGGTCACAGTTTGAGTCTTCGTGGCCAGCAGGAGATAGCCCACAGGTTGAGATATGGGCTCTTGGGTACCAATGGACTCAGACACCAAGCTCTTCCTATAGTCCACTTGGGACACTAATGACTGTAAGGCTCTGAAATCTAATATGTCCAAGGCAATGCTTTTAAAATTTCACGTGAACAAATCTTCTCACCTGGCTTTCCCAACCAGTAAGCGGCATCAGCCTCCATTCACTAGATTAGGGGAAATGGTCCAAGCTACCCTGAGAGGAGAGCTTCCTTGTGAAAGCAGCCTCTGAACTTTCGTCTACTTTTGTCTTGTCACAAGAAGGTACACTCTCCTCCCAGCAGCAAGAGACATATTTCACCAATGTAAACCAAGTAAGCTATCAGCCACATATAGAATAAAATCCACATATTTTATCTTGGCCAACAAGATCCTACATGTTCAGGCTTATGTATAGCTCTCTGACTAAAATTTATAACACCCTCATGTTTGATAGGCTCTTGACATATTTTTAGAAAAACCTTCAGTGATATCAAGATTTTCCCTGCCTTTCAGCCTTTGCACCAGGTATTTTTTTCTGTTTAGAGGAAAACTTTTAAACCATAGGAATTCACTAATTCTTATAATTCGGGTCTCACTTCAAATGTCACCTCAGACAGGATCCCTCCTGTCCCCTCAGTTACTCCCACTCGTGTATATTTAAATATCGTTGCAGTTTTCAGAATGAGTTAAATCCAATTTAGGTTGACATTAATCTTCGTCATATAAATACAAGCATTTTTAATTAAATGTCACCTTTGCTTTTAGCAGTTCTGCTTCCCTATGTGACAGGCTTTTAGGAAACAAACAGCTGTGAAGCTCTGCATTGTGCTCATGGCAGCTTTCACACCCTCTCTGCTGTGTTGTTTACTTAACGTTCTGGTGTGTCCACTAGAGCTGTGATGTCCACTAGCCAGATGTTGCTGTTTCAATTAAAGTTAACTAAAACTAAAAGAAAAAGTACAGTTTCTTTGTTCTGTGGTAAATAGGCACATGGGGCTAGAGACTACCATATTGGACTGTGCAGAAAGAGAACATGTCTATCTTCACAGAAAGTTCTCTTGGATAGTGCTGCTCAAGAGTATATACAACAAGTGATAATCTGTGTGTGTCCTTGATGATCAGTGCCACTGGCCAGAAGGAGCAAGAAAAGGAAATACAGTGTCTGCTCATAGATTTATAGTCTAGCATGGGAGACAGTTTTCAATAAATAATGAAAAACTAAAGACACATGATACTTGTATTAAAAAGATCTAACCCGAGAATGAGGTTAGACTGCTTGAAAAGGAAAATTATTTGAGTGAAGATTCAGAAAATTGGTCATTTCTTTAGCATGGTTGTGTAGGGCTGGTACCGTGTTGTATGGGTGGGGGTGGAAAGAGTATTACCGTTGGGAAAAATAAATGTGTAAATCCCTGAGACAGCAGAGAACCTGGTATTATCCATTCATTGATGGAAGTCAGAGATGATTAAAGCAGAGAAAACAACGTGTGGGTGGTGGGGTTTGTGTGAGTTGGATTGGAGCAGGTCACTTAGAACCAGGCTGACTTCTGTGGGTTTTTGGAAGGCCACTGGACAGCCATAGACGAGCATTAAGCATTTCCTGTGCTGCAAATAGATTTTGGAAGTGACAACCATGTTTGAATGACATCAGGCAGGAGCTTGTTATGAACAAGTTAGGGAAGACTGAGGTGGCCTAGACATGGACGCTGATTGTGGATTAGGAAGATAGCGTAGTGATATAATGTAGATGTGGATGTACGAAAGGGCATCCCTTGATAGAATGCTCATTCCTTAGGTTACAGGCTATAGACCAGTAGATACTTCTTACAGTTGAATGTCAATGTTGATAACCCCAGGATCATGTTGAAGTGTGGATTTTCTTTCAACAATTCTGGGGTGAGACTTAAGATTCTGCATACTGAACAAGCTCCAAGTTTATGCTGGAAATAATAGTGTAGAAATGATGATATGAGTTACAATTAGAGAGTGCCATTAGAGAAAATTATAAAAAGAAGGATAATGCTTAGAAGGGAAACACTGGTGTAAACTTCATGCAAGAGAGAGAACATTGACGCTGAGACCAAGAAATGAAAGAGTAGGAGTCAACATGGAGGGGGAGCAGGGTGAAAAGAAATAGGAAGAGAGGCAGGAGATGGTTCCTTAGCGATAACATAAAGATTTTCTGATTTATGGATCAATTTAATATAAGGTTGAAAGACAAAGTGTTCAGGAATCCTCCCAGATTTCTCAAAAGCTTAGTGAGTGGTGTTCTCATGGTTTGAAAATGAAAGGGGAAAAAAAACCCAGAAAACTCAAGAGGCAGAAAGAAATGTTAATTTATTGCAAAAGGAACAGAAAAAATATCGATCAAATATCACAATGATATAAATAAAATGAAAACGTTTTAAAAAGCACAATAGAAGGTTTTTTACAGCACATAATTAAAAAATAAATCAATCCTGATGAGTTCATTGTTAATACTTGAAAAATGTGTTCTTCCTTAAAAATTCATCCATGTTAATGTCAGATAACAGGGATATTTGATATCAAGGACAAAGTTACATCGATGAACCCAGAACTTCAATATTGGACCCCTGACTTCCTGGAGAAAGTCAGGTTAAAGTTTGCTGCCTGGCCAGGCCTGATTGCTTCAATGCTCTGGAATAAGTAAATTCCTCCGTGCTCTTGTTGGCAGAACGAAGAGACCCATGAAGCTGCATGAAGAATGCAGGTCTGTGCTCTGGATGGTGGAACCTGTTCTGCCTTCAGTGCAAATGCCCTCAGGGTGGACCATGGCCCTGAGCCTGAAAGCCAGAAAGTTGTGACTCCCTGCTTCTTCTACACTGTTTGCTCCCCATCCTTCTTCCATTTCAGATCTCGAGTGTGGCGCAGAAAGAACTAGGCCAGTCCAGGCAGCTGGGGGCCTAGAACGACCATCTTGCACCTCCATCTATCATAAGGAAGGATTTCAGCTGCTCAGACTGGTGTGTGGACCAGACATTATTCATCTGCTTCCAAACTTCCCAGTGCTCTGATTCCACTCCTGTCCCTCTTCCTGAAGTGGCTTCTTGGGCCTAGAGAGGACATTCCCTTAGACTTGTAGAAGCTGGAGAAGGAAATGGTAAGTTCTATGGAGAACTGGGTTATCCTTAGCATCAGTGGGGGAGGCTGGATATGAATCCTTGGGGGAGCAGCTGTGTGCTACAGGGCTTTTGTTGCAGTGAAGAAAAAGGAGGCCAAGTGGCGGAGCCCTAGGAGGCACCCTAAGGCCTTGCTCCACTGTCTCTGGGCCCTTCCTCTGTACATACGTGGCTTTTCAAGATTTGGATACCTGGTGTCACCCTCAGGTGACTCTCAGTGGTAGCATCATGGGGTGTTAATATCCCCACTCTTTGTCTTGGTGCTCTCTGTTGAATGGCAAAGTCTCCTGACCAGAATCTGAACACGGAGCAGCTCTGGCTGTGGAGGCTGAGCCCTGGCCCTCCAGAGCCTTCCTTGTCCCGTGTCTCTGAACAATGTTTTTGATTCCCCCCAGGCACGAGCATTTTGGGTCTTAAAAAGATTAAGAGGTATCCTATCAGTTTCATCATCTGTTCTAAAGTGTAAAATATCTCAGCAATTCACTGAGATTAAAAGCCAGATTCTTTTCAGTTGCCAGCAAGTTCCCCAGAAAATGACATGGCCACTGACCCCAGTCACCTCTCCAGATTCCTACACTATGTTGTACCTGTGTTGCATTCTGCTCCAGTCATGCTGGCGTTTGGCTCTTCCTAAAACATACGAGACACCTTCCCACCCTGAAGCCTGTGCTCTGGCTGTTTCCTCCTTCCAGAACAGTTTTTTCTCACAGGCATGAATTTTTTTATAGAACATATCACCAAGTGATAGTTTATATATATATTTATTTAAATTTACTGCCCCACTCAAAAAACTTATGATCCATGTTCATCTGGATATTTGTTTCGTTCACTGCTGTATTTGCTTTGCCAACATGCAGTAGGCTCTGTGTCCGTATGGCCTGAATCAATTTTAATAAATGAAGGAAGCCACAGTTAAGTGTCTGAAGGGAAGAAGTCTGAGACACAGGGCTTTGCCAGGAGAAGTAGACCCTAGTATGTATGAATTGAATATTTCCTTTGTCTCGTCTTCCTAGTATCCAGCAGGGCTCTAGATCATCTATGGTGTTATTTGAGAATAACAGCAAGAATAACAACAAAACTGATGCATATGAACAGAAATGTAGTTGTCAGGAATTTAGACTTCAAAGACAAATTGACCTGCATTGTGGCTCAGCAAATTTCCATATGGAAAACATGGATATCTGGTTGCTCTGTCCTGTGTTCTGCTCTTGGGTTGTTTTCTGATTTTATTGATTTCCTAACTGGAGGACTCCCTTTAGTATTTCTTGTAATTTTGGCTTGGTTTTTGCAAATTCTGTAAACCCCTGTTTATCTGGAAATGCCCTAATTTTGCCATCATATTTGAGAGACAGTTTTGCTGGATATATAATTCTGGGCTGGCAATTTTTTTCCTTCAGGGCTTTATATATGTCACCTCAGTGCCTTCTTGCCTGCATGGTTTCTGCTGAGTAGTCCGAGCTTAGTCTTATTGACTCTCATTTGTAGATGACTTTTCGTTTATCCATAGCCGCTCTTAAAATTCTGTCTTTGATTTTGGAAAGTTGGATTATAATATGTCTTGGTGACTTTCTTTTGGGATCTTCCTTATGTGGGGTTCAATGAGTATCTTGGATAGATATCTTCTCATCTTTGATGATATCATGGAAATTTTCTGCCAACAAATCTTCAGCAATTACCTCTGTATTTTATGTTATTCCCTAATTCTGCTACTCCAGTCACTTGTAGGTTATTTCTCTTGATAGAGTCCCACATAATTCTTAAGAGTTTATTTTTTAAAATTCTTTTATCTGATTTTTCCTCAAATAAGTTGATATCAAGTGTTTCATCTTCAATCTCACTAATTCTGACTTCTGCTGCCTCAATTCTAATCCTCTGACTTTCTATTGCGTTGTCTAATTTTGAAATTTTATTGTTTATCTTCTGGATTTCTGATTACTGTCTCTATGGATTCTTGCAGCATATTAAATTTATCATTATTCTCTTGAATAACCTTCTTAAGTTCCTCTTGCTTTGTCTGTGTGTACCTTGGCTTTTTCTGCATTTTACCTGATCTCTTGAAGAGTTCTGTATATTAATCTTTTGTATTCTGCTCCTGGTAATTCCAAGAAGTTCTCTTCCTCCAGAAAATTTATTGATTCTTTGTTTTGGGAGCTTGCTGAAGCCATTATGATCTGCCTCTTTATGTGATTCGATATTGACTGTTGTCTCCAAGCTATCAATAAGTTATTATATTTCTTTTCTTACTGTGTCCTAGCTTTTTGTTTTGTTTTGATATGCCCAAATAGGCTGCTTGCATTAGCTAGTTTAATTATTGATGCCTTTGAAGGTCTAATGTCCTGTCACTAGGAGGTTAGATCTGTTACTAAATATGTGAGCCCAGGAGTCCATTTACTTGTATGGATTCAGCTCAGGTGTCCAGGTAGTCAGTCACCAAGTGTGTGGTGCAGGCTCTCACCTACAGTCCTAGACATTCATGGGTGATTGGTGTAGGCACAGGTATCTGGCTGTAGTAGGGGGTAATGCACTGAGCAAGGCAGGGGGCCAACGGCTGCCCCTGAGTGTCTGGGAGGAAAGCATATCCTTGTTCCCTAGAGTGCATAGGTGGGGGGGTTTTGCAGCCAGACTATAAGCACCCAATGCTGTTGGCTGTAAGGACTGGGGGGCACCACTTATTCTTGGACCCTTGTCACAGATGGCTAGGTGGCATGGGTGGAGCTACCAGTCCTCAGGCCCCTGATGTGGGAAGGTGAGGAAACTGCTTAATGGGCAGAGCAGGGTCATATGTCACGAACCTGCCACTTTACAGATGAAACACAGTTAGACTTCAGGTATATACCCTGTTGTACTGTGGTAACGAGGGCATATGCTGTTGAAATGGGCCCACACAAGTCTATTCAGGGGTGAAAGGCATTCACAGTCAGTGGACCCCTTATGGCTGTGCCAAGGCAAAGGAGCTGTGCCTACTCTGAGTTACATGTGAGAAGCAAGGAGCTTGTAATTAAATGAATGTCTCTAACTTCACCGAGCTATGACCTGTTTGAAATAATGTCTGCTTCTAAGACTCATGAGATACAAATCACAGTTGCTGAATACATGGGGCATTTTATCATTATTGTATAATAAACATGAGGGTTTTTGATGACTTTAAAATGTGTAACCTGGCCCACTACAGTGGTGGAGACTTTTGGATTTTGGCCCTAGCTCAGAGTTTTTTGTGACCCCATCATACTAGAACTGATTAGAAATCATAGGCTACTCACTTCACCATTCCTTGACAAGAGGAGTCTTCTTACTCTACAGCTGCTCTGTTTTAGCCCCGAAGGTGTCTTTTAGCAGCCTTTTCTCTCCTTACAACATTAGGAAACCAACGGATTGGTGCTATTTCACAGAGATCAATCTTACACACTGGGGCATTCCAGTGGTCAGGGTTCAGGTAGTTATGGTTGGGTGCTTTCCAGGGGCTGCTAATGTGAGAGAATTCTGGAGTGGAACCTCTAGAGGGCTGGAATGTAAGTCTCCATTTCCTAGGCTTCACGGGCAATTTTACAGGTAAACCGTCCGCACTACAGCTTACTTACAAAATGAATTTTTGTTGTAAAAATTACACACAACAAAATATTTGCCGATTCAACAGTGTTTACACGTATAATTTGGTGACACTGATTACGTTTTTCATGTTTTGCAGTCATTACAAAATGGGAATTGTAACCTGTCCTCACTGAGCAAAAATAAGGGCATGCTGTTCCTGTTTCTGCAGAGGTTGTGCCCTTTATTATCTTACAGCGTTAGACTGTGTTTGTGCACCTGTCACATTGTTATCTCCTTGAGTTCAGGAAAATACGACCAGCTCGGTGCTTTGGGTTGCCAGTTTGTTTATGCTTGCTCCAGTCCTACTGTGGTTGTGAGGAGCAAAAGTAAAACTGCCATTCTGCAGTGTTTCCCAGTTGCTATACCTCGCCTTGTCTTCACCATATGCTTTAATGTTTTGTTTAGTATTCTGGTAGATCTTATGGAAGGAGATGTAATTGTTCACAAGGAAGTGAAGATCTGAATGAGCATTTCTCTAATTTGTGCTGTTTTCTAAGTGTTTTATTCCATTGAGAGAGAAGAATATGAGTGCAATTAGTCGCAATCAAACTGTAGAGAGATTATTTCAGTGTGTTGGAAGACTGTGAGACAGGATGCAGTCAGTGAGGATGTGAATGTAGTGAATGAAGGGACAAGGCTGATGGCTACACCCTAGAGTACAGCTTAGTAGAGCACAAAACCTTGTGTCAAATCCCTAAGAATTCTCAGTTCCCGTAGACTGTCAGCCTTACCCTTCATTCTTATACACATTGGAATACATGGTACCTTGCTGATCCAGAATGTGTGGGATATTTTAGGAGTCAGTAGTCATTGAGGATGTGGCTGTGGTCTTTAGCCAGGAAGAGTGGGCTTTGCTGGATCTTGCTCAACAGAAACTCTACAAAGATGTGATGATAGAAAACTTCAGAAACCTGGCCTCAGTAGGTAAGAACAGTATCCTTTTTTTCTTTTTTTTTTTTAATTCCTTTAGTGAACAAAAATATTTTACTCATTGACTTTACTCCCATATTTGGGCTGAATAATGGGAATAAATCATCAAACAAACTAGGCATGGTCCTTTGGTCTGTAGAGCTCATATATCCTGGTTTGTCCACGAACACAAAGCTCTGTGTATTACACTTAGCTTTCATTTCTCTTATGATGAAAAGACCTGAGGCTCTTTAAGTGTTGTAAATGTAAGCATTGGCTTCAGGGGTCACTTTGGGGGCACTGCAAGTATTGTATTTTGGGACCTCGTAGAGAGTATTACTGTGTTGATTACAAGTGTCACATGATTATTGTGCTGCAAATAAACTCACACCTGTCCATCTTCAGAGACCCTGAAAAGTATTGGCTTAGTGTCAAGGAGGTGTTCATTGCTCTTCACTGTCCTCCCTCATGATGTGCATTTCTCCATGAGCACCATGTCAGGTATACACATTTGTTTTCCCAGAGACAGAACTTCACAGATACCTGAGCTTTTGTAACTTTAGCAATCCTCTCACACCCGCGGTCATGGAGATGGTTTGTCTCTGTTAATGTTACATGTGTATTGGATCCAATATTTTTCTGCTTAGCTCTCCTAATTACACCTATTCATGTCACTATCACTTTAAAGGCTCATGGAAGTATTTCCTGCTATATTACTTAACCATTGCTGAAGTGCTAAAGGAGCAAAACATAGCTAAGTCTTTATTAACAGTGGTCTTTTTTCCCCTAATAATTCCTTTTTCTTTCATATTGTGAACCTCAACTTGAATTATTGGATCAGTTTCTCGAAACCTTAAGGATGGAGAAAAGTTATCCAGTGACAATATAATGGTGAGATACATGAACAGTAACACCTGGTTCTCCATGTTAGGAGAAATCTCTGAGTCGCATGGCAATAAAGATCATCATAAAAACCCAGAGAGATGTTTGAGGTGAGTGTCATTCAAACAAGAGAAAACAGTGCTTCAGGAGAAGATCCTAAGGTGTCATGACATTAAAATATACATTAATATGTTTATGTTTATATACCAAGGCTTCAAACTCGTTTGTAACAGTTCAGTAATTGCAAACATAAAGAAGAACAGCATACGCCTTGCATAGTGACCAAATCTGTTGCCTGTCGGATTTTGACCTGAGCAGGACACAATCAGTGATGCTCTTCTCAAAGATGACGGCCCACTACTGTGCTTTGAATGTTGCTCTTCACAGTCCTGCCAGTAATCCAATGTTCCTGCAGCAGGTTTGTGAAAATTTTGGGATCCATGCAGGAGATAGGATTGACAGGAATGTGGGGAGCAACCCACCGGGAAAGCTGTGCAATTGGCTGCCATCTTTGAGCAGGGCTCTGCTGTTTGTTTACAACATGGGTTGTAATCCGATGGGCAACAGATATGTAACACGATCCTGCCCTCATTTATGCTGTCAATTTCTGAACCATATGAACTGGTTCAAAGCCTTCATGTGTGTATGCATATATAAATATATATATATGTACATACATATAAATTATTACATGTATAAATTTAGCTGTAAACTTAAGTGTTCGTAGAGTTTACATTTTTATAAATGTGTGTTAGACATTGAGTATTTGAAACATATTTCACTTAGACACAATGATCAGAAAGCCTCATATTTTAGAAAAACAGTGACAGTTATGCTAGTATTTCTGCAGGATTATTTGATCTATGAAACAAGAGAACAGTCAGCAAAAACTGTGTTTACTGTTTTTGGTAATGGTGAAGTGGAAACAATTTATTTCTGGCAACATGTTGCCTATTTTTAACAGAAATCATACAGTAGAAAAGCTCTGTGGAAATAATGAAGGCAATCAGTGTGGGAAAACCTTCAGCCAGATTCTAAATCTTACTGTGCTGAAAAAAAACCCTACAGAAGTGAATCCTTTTGAATGCTCTGAGTGTGAGAAAGCCTTCACGGATCCCTCATCACATAACCATCATACCAGATGTAACACTGGATGCGTTACCTGTCAGATTATTGCATGTGAAGAAACCTGCAGTGGTACCACTCCTGTGAGAACTCTTAATGGAAAGAAACCCCATAAATGTGAGGTATGTGGGAAGGACTTCATTTGTTTCTCAACCCTTAAGAATTCCGTGACAACACTCACTAGTGAGAAACAGTATAATTGTAATGATTGTGGGAAAGATTTCTGTATTTTCTCATCGTTTTGGACACGTGTTAGAGGTCATAAGGGTGAACGTAAAGAATGTTGTAAAACCTGTAGTCGTCCTTTATCCCTCATTTTACGTAACAGAGATAAGCCTTATGAATGTAAGGACTGTGGGAAAGCCTTTAATTGGCCCTCACGCCTCACTACACATATGCGAACACACAGTGGAGAGAAGCGTTACGAATGTAAGGAATGTGGAAAAACCTTTAGTTGGCCCTCAGCCCTCACTGCACATTTAAGAACCCACAGTGGAGAGAGGCCTTATGAATGTATGGAATGTGGGAAAGCCTTTAGTTGTACCTCAGCCCTCACTGCACATGTAAGAACTCACAGTGGAGAGAGGCCTTACAAATGTAAGGAATGTGGGAAAGCCTTTAGTCAGTCATCACACCGCACTGAACATATGCGAACTCACAGTGGAGAGAGGCCTTATGAGTGTAAGGAATGTGGGAAAGCCTTTAGGTGTTACTCATATCTCACTTCACATATAAGAATTCACAGTGGAGCGAGGCCTTATGAATGTAAGGAATGTGGGAAAGCCTTTAGTTGGCCCTCATGCCTCACTACACATATGCGAACACACAATGGAGAGAAGCCTTATGAATGTAAGGAATGCGGGAAAGCCTTTAGTTGGCCATCACGGCTCACTACACATATGCGAACTCACAGTGGAGAGAGGCCTTATGAATGTAAGGAATGTGGGAAAGCCTTTAGTCAATCAGCACACCTCACTAACCATATAAGAACTCACAATGGGCAGAGGCCTTAT